CCCACCCGCCGTATTCTCCAGACGTTGCTCCCTCTGACTATCACTTGTTTCGATCAATGGCACACGGCCTGGCTGACCAGCACTTCCGGTCTTATGAAGAAGTAAAAAATTGGATCGATTCGTGGATAGCCTCAAAAGATGACCAGTTTTTTCGACGTGGGATTCGTACGCTATCCGAAAGATGGGAGAAAGTAATGGCCAGTGATGGACAATACTTTGAATCATAAATGTATAACCAGTTTTTTACAATAAAGTTTCGAATTTCGGAAAAAAAACGGCGGAAGCAAAGTTGTACACCTAATATTTCTAAAGTGCCGAATATCCGCCATCATTAGCTTGGCGCGCGGGGAGTGGGAAGCGGTCGTGAGCCACTAAACTCGAACGGCGTGCACCTGCTAGGCCATCCCCGCTCCTCGCATAGTTAATGAGATATTAATCCTTAAAGATAGCCGAATACGCTCGCCCGGCCTACTACTGCGAAGTGTATATGCCTACCGATCGCTTGGCGCGCGGGTCTTGGGAGTTGGGGATTGGCTGGCAAGCATCCCGTGCCGCGCACACCGCCGCAATCTCTATAGCTCGGACGGCGCGCTTGCCAGGCTATCCCCGCTCCCCTCTATTTTTAAGGATTAATATCTCGTTAACGATTGAGGAAACTTACAAAATGGTTACTTTTCTACTCAGTTTAGTTCGCTCTACCTGCTCATGAAATATTTGGCGATTATTTCCAGACACCCTGTATATTTCAATCTTTCATTTCTACATAATTTCTTACAAAAAGTTTCTTGTGCTTATATTATTATGCTCATATTAACCTATCCAAAGAGTAATATGAGCATTGAATGAGTAATAAGACACTCACTACCATTTTAACATTTGCATTAAAATAATCAATGTTAATACTGAGATACATAAAACATCAACATATATTTGTTGATGGTATGCATAAAATCTTATGCATACCATTTACCAAATGGTATGCATAAGATTTTTTTATTCTTCAATATGTTAAATATATCAAAATGTTTCCTTAAAGTGCTCATCATATCCGATCTTACCCTATATTTGAACGTTATTTGTTATTTTACAGCAAACACCAAATATAAATACAATATTACGTCGAAGTAACAAATAATATAACAGATGTTACCTATTTCTATTATAATTATATAATTATATTATACTTTATATATATATAATACAACCGGATTATGAAATTATTTGTTCTGTTATTTATACGTTATAATAAAACGAACAGCAAAATAACGGCATTCATTGCATATTACATAACAATTGGTTCGTTGATATTATATTAACATTATACAACAGTGGTCGGAATTAGTTGCTCATTTCGGGTCGATTCTCGAAGCAACGTTTATCCCCCACTATTGCTCGCCGCTCGACGATCAAGCCGCCGATCACGCGGTTAACGCTATCTCAGGAGTATCCCTAAGTGAAAAATACACTGATAGTAAAAATACCTTTAGGAGAAACTTGTAAAAAATTCTATTTTTAACATAATTTTGATATATATATTTTTAGATATATTTATTTTATATATATTTTTTGCAAAAATATAAATGATAATAATGTACGATAATTAGAATTCAGATATTTTTTCATCTTTGAGATAATATTGCAGATACGTTTTTTTTAGTGGTTTTCCCCTATTGTCTATTCTACTAAAAAAATATTGAAGAAGATGATAAAATATACGGTTCGAGAGTAAAATATTCTAATACAAAACATTTAATTAAACACAGACATTATACTAAAAAGAAGGAAATAATATTCACAATTACACTATTATATTTTGCTTATATTTTTATACGTAGTATTATGAAACGTTGCACTATCACATGTATTAATTATACACGCGTAACACTATCATATATAGTATTATCATTTATCACAAATACTATTAGCATGCATGAATAATAGTTTCTTTTTTACACACAATGTGAATCCTCAAAACTACATAATCTCGCATAAGACCTTTACACGTTTCGCTATCAAAATCGTTGAGAAACAATTTATTATAAAACTATATAATAAAATCGCAAGATTTAAATATCCATAACAGATTTTTAAACCTCGCGATTCTATTATAAATATACGCACGTACTCCTTGCGCGCTGACACAATTATTTATTCTCCTTCGCTGTTTATCAAAGGTCGCTTGCTAGTGATACATGTACGACATGTACCATATGTTAAAGATCTTATTCGAGATTATAGAGAAATATGGAGTTTTGTGGATTCGTACTGTAAATTTAAAAAAATAGAAGGTACTATTAACGTGATAAATAATGTTAATATTACATGTGATTGTGTTACATATATGATATTGAGAGTACAAATTAGTTCGGTCCGTTTCGCTAAAGATGGCTCCAGATGGCTGTTGTGAATGATTCATAGACAGCTGATTTTGGCGGTTTCAGAAAGGTTAAACATCTGCTAATAATATTCAGTTTATATCGCATTGAGTTTCATACAAAAACCTTGATTTTTATTGTGTTTGAAATGTCAAATTTTGTGTTAACCAAGCAGCATTTGCGGGAAGTTTTGATTTTCTGCTTTAATTGGAAGAAAAGTACGGCTGAAGCCCATCGAATGCTTATTGAAGTTTATGGTGACACTGCTCCAACTGAGTAAATCATGTAGGAAATGATTTCGACGTTTCAAGGATGAAGATTTCAGCATTGAAGACAAGCCTCGCTCTGGACAAAAAAAATTCGAAGACAAAGAATTAAAGGCATTACTCGAAGAAGATCAGATTTAAACGCAAGAGGAGTTTGCAGAATCATTGGGGGTAACAAGCCATTTTTATACGATTAAGAGCCATGGGAATGATTCAAAAACAAGGAAATTGGATGCCTTATGAACTAAAACTGAGAGCCGTTGAAAGGCGATTTTTCATTTGCGAACAGCTGATTCAAAGATAACAGAGAAAAGATTTTTTGTATCGGATTGTGACTGGAGATAAGAAGTGGATATTCTACAAGAATAAAAAAAGAAAAAATACTACGCTAAACCCGGTCAATTATTGCCATAGACCTCAACATCAACACCACGGCCGAATATTCATGGTTCGAAAATCATGCTCTGTATCTGATGGAACCAAAAGGGTCTTGTTTACTATGAGCTGTTGAAACCTGGCGATTCCATTACGGGCGATCGGCTACAATTGATTCGTTTGAGCCGTGCATTGCGAAAAAAACTGGAATATGAGCAAAGACATGATAAAGTTATTCTTCTTCATGACAACGCTCGGTCTTATGTCGCTAAAGTCGTAAAAAAATATTTGGAAATGCTCAAATGGATGGGGATGTTTTATCACACCCGCCGTATTCTCCGGACATTGCTCCTTTTGAT